TTGCTGTTGTCTGTGCTGGAACGGGACAGAGGGACAGCAGATGTAGCTGCAGGAGCCACTGTCCCCTGCTGGATGCTGCTAATTCATCACAGAGCTCCTCCTTGCTGCGTGAGACTGTGGCCTCAAAAGCCTGCCCTGTGCAGTGCTCCTGGCTGTCACGGCACATCCATTCAGGATGACAGATGACAACCAGGTCTCTCTGACCTGGCCTTGGGGGACAAAAGCACTATTTCCCCCAAAATGATTGTTTTGTCTATTTATCAGCTCAAAAAAAAAAAATCAGATCAAAGGCTCTTTGTTGCTCTAAGAAATTGCAGATGGAATAAGACTGCAGAATCACGTTGGGAGGTCCTGGGCCTGCTATGGTCCATGTCTTAATCAGATGCTGTGTCCCCACAGTGATGGGAGGAGAGGTTGGGGAGTGTGGTGGTCAGCTGAGAAAGAGGAAGAGTTAGGGGAAGATGTGGTGTGAGATGCATGCGTCACAGAGGGAAGAGACAGGTTGACAGACAGCAGCAGGCTTTCTGTGAAGATGCAAGCAGAAAGGTGGTTGGGAGAGAGACCTCCAAAAGGAAAGACAGTGCATGGCAAAGCATCTTCCATTGTCTTACAGAGCGTGGAAATATCAAAGGGTTTTCATGTTTCTTTGCAATCCCAGAGCAATGTTTGTTGGAGCAGGTGGCAGAGGATGTTTCTGGAAGCCACCAGAAACTTCCAGTAATTGAGGGATAACAGTTTCAAGCAATGAACTGTCTCACCAAGACTGCATAACCACAGATGAGAGGACGTTGTGGTCTGCATTTATCAGGCTTATGGACCAAGTGCAGGGAGGGCGTGAGATTATAGTAATATCAGGAGCTGGAGTTCGAGTACATCTGGCTTTGGAGGCTGAGTTCTGTTCCTGCACCAAGTACCCAGGGCCATCTCCAAAAGACCTCATGCTATCTTGCTGTCCATTGCCACTGAAGTCCTTTAGAGGCTGGTGTTAATTAATGAAGCTGGTGTTTTGCGGAGCTGGTATTTGTAGCTGTCTTTTCCTTTTCCAGCTCTTGTCCAGCTGCCCTGGCTGCTTGCATTGCCCTGACTGTGGCCCTGGTCATATAGAACTCTGGGCCCTGCTCATGGCTTGCAATGCTTTTCCCGTTCTCTTGCCTGGTGAAACCTTTCCCAGTAATACATTGCCAGTAAGGCTCTCGGGGAACACGTTTGCAATTCCTTCAGCTCCCTTTCTGAGTCTTCATGACAGTCAGTTCTAGGACCCATCACACCTGCCCTGTGTTGGGGTACGTGTTTAACTCTTGGAAGCTGCAGGCTGCCAGCTCCCGGGGGCCCGGACAGAGGCTTATTCACCACCCCGGGGCTAAGGATAGCACTGAGCATGCAGCAGAAACCCAGCCACGCAGAGCTGAATTCAGTCGATTTTGCTGTGACCGGATGAATCCAGGCCACTGGGATTTCACTGAGGGACCTCAGTGTCTTCACTTGTTTGGGAACCTTGAAGTGTCATGGGATAAAATCCATTACTGACATCTTTATGGTCCATGTCACCTGTCACTCGGAGGGAGAGAGAAATTAAATTGGCACAGCAAGGCTGATTTTTCACAGTGCTTTGTTGATGACTCCAAACACTGTGCATCCTGCTGCCGGTGTCCCCGGCCCCCTGTCCCCAGCCCCTGGGTGGTGGAGAATAACAGGATGCTGCTCTGGAAAGTATTTACCCTTTTTAAAAAGCACCAGTATTGTGGTTTCCATTTTCAAACCCCGGAAGTGGACTGGTTCGGGATGCTGGCAGCCATGCCCTCGGGCTGGCTCTGTGGCACCTGTCAGGCCCCCGGATTCGTCATTTGTCCTTGCTGAGATGGGGACAGCTTCTGCCTGGGCACCGCACCATCTCTCCTTCCAGCCTCCTCTGGATCGTGCATCCTTGATCAAAAGCTGCTACTTTCTGGAAAGTTGATTCCGTTTTTAAGTGTTGATTCGTTTTGAGGATGGTTAGTTTGACTGGGCTTCACTTTTATTTTATGTATACTTAGCTGTTTAAGTGTGTTTCAAAAAATTATAAAAACCTACTTCAGTCTGTTTTGCAACAGTGTGTGTGACCAATCAATGCTCCGCAGTGCACCCTGAAACTTCAAGGTATCACAGAAACATGTTCTCTGCTTGAAACTGTACTAGTAAACTGAACATCTGCTTTACAGGAACACAGTCTATTAGTAAACTGAACATCTTTGTTGTTGTTGATGATGATGTTGTTAAACAGGAAAATAATATGGCTTCATAAAGTTCATGTAAGTGCATGTAGATGCCATTTTGGAAATGAGTCACATAAATGAATAAATGAAGGCAGATGTCAAGCATTTAATTGGCCCTTCTTTCCCAGCTGGCTTCTATGAAACTTGGAAGCCCTGTCAGAGATGATAATTCCCCACCAGTATGAAGCTGCCACAGTGGGTTAGATGCTGTTGATTTTCGGAGAGGAGCAGCTGACTGCCTCAGGCCTTGTAGCCTGGCATTCTCGGCATTTTCTACTAATGCTTCTCAAATACCAGAGTGAAGTACGGCACTGCACCTGTAATGGCCCACAGAATTTTCTGGAAATCACAAACCTTATACTAACTGCTCCAGTGAGCTTTTGTCTTTTTCTCCCATTTTTATTTTATGAAACGCCCCAAGATTTCATCACTATAATAAGAGACTAACAGTGGTTATACATTGCGTATTAGTATCTTCAAAGTAGTTACTTAGAGACCAAAACGATTGTCTTACAAAGAATAACAGATAATACATAGCACAAAACTTTCTTTTCAGTGAACTCAGTCAGACTCTCGGCATCAATGAAATGCATCAACTTTATTTTTGGCGCCATGCTGATATTGTCCTCTAGATCTTCCTCTTAAAAGGATTGACTGGGAAGATACATCTTGTAATTCCTGAACCCCCAGGCTCAGATACTTGGCTTGAGAAGCAGGCATAAGAATGGTTTAAGAAAAGTGTTTTAAAAGGTACTAGAAAACAACCACAGTAACATTGGTATTTAAAGTGTAATTGTCCAGCAGGGATGGATTCCTGGGATGGATTCTCCAGAGGGATACTGAGCTGGGAGAATGAGGCTGAGGCTATGGTGGGACTCAGAAGGCATGGATCAGTGGGGGAAACTGAGGCAGGGGGCCAGAGGAGAGTCGGTCTTAGCCCTCTGGGGAGATAACCACAAGGCAGCAGAAGGGGCTGTTGGATGTGGTGACTGTACATTAAGGAGGAGAAGGAATGCTGAATAAGAGCCAGCGGAGGAGGAGGATTCAGAGAGCAGGGAATCGGTTCACCGGTGAGGACGCTGAGCACCAACCTGGTGCCCACAGTGTGCCTGGGGGTCCTGAAGCAGAATTTCCCAGCCAGCTCTGTTAAGTGATTGGAGTATTGTAACGGGGAGTCTGGGGCTTTGGGTAGCTGTATCCACAGTCTGAACTTCTGAGCACCAAGACCCATGTTCAGACTTGGACCCAAGGCGTGTTCTGAGGCAGAGCCTGAGATTTAGGACTTATGCCTAAAATGTCCCTTAAAGCCTCCTGTGCTCCCAGGTGGGGCTTTTGGAGGTGACTAGACCGTGGGTGTGTGATACTGGATCACGGGTGTGATGACTGGATTGGTCCCTTGAGTGTTTCATTAGTTCTGGGTGGGAGCTGAATGGATTGACTGAATTTGGAAAACCCACCCTGCGTGTGGGTAGCACCAGTCAATACACTGGTAGCCTGAACCCAGTAAGGAAGGCTGCTGCTTCTTTCTGCCCGGCCTGCTATAGTCTGTTTCCCCTTTGTCATGCCCTGTGCCTTATCACTGTCTATGGCTTGAACCGTGTATAAATCATGAGCTGAAATGAACCTTTCCTCCTTTAACCTGTGGGTACTGGCTATTTTGCCCAGCAGTGAGGAAATAACTCAGGCAGAGTGAGAGGAGGAGAGTGCTCCCTCCTCTTAGAGTGCTCCCATAACTCTTGGCTCCAGAGCCTCCTGATCCTCAGGCATCACCGCCACTCCTGCGAGGCGTGCACCATTCCTAAAATAAGACCCTGCCCAGGCCTCTTGCACAGCATACTGGGTTTAGGGCCCAAGGCTGGCGCCTGCCTCCGCCCCATCCCACTCTGAACTTCTGTGTCCTCCTCAGAAAAATGCTAATGGCTTATTTAATTGTGAGAATGGGAGAAAAATCATGGAAAGAAGGCAGTCCTGAGCTCAGTGCAAGGGAATACTCTGTACACAAGAAATAAGTGGATTCGCTTAATTCCCTAGTATTGGATTTCAATAAATATTGCAAGTTCCCAGTTGTGGCAAATGACTGGACTTTGATAAATGTTGTAACATGGAAAAATTGTAATTTTTACCCTTTGCCTTTTTCTGTCTTTGTGTGTGTCATATTTTTCTAAGGAATGCTGGGATATATCTTGTTTTGGAGCCAAAGATGGGCTACCCATCATGACCACTAATCGTGGTGTGTCCCCTCCAGTGGATTGAGAACTATGCAGCAGATTAGCGGGGTTTGCTCTTGGGTGTGTCTAGCTGCGCCATGGAAGTGTCTTCTTGGTACCATACTATTCATGAGGTCTTGCCTGCCCCTCTCTGGTGATGTCCCCTGTTCCTCTTCTTGGCTGCCACGATGTGGGCACTTTTGCACCACTACACTCTGTGGCCATGATATTCCTGCCTTGGGGCTGGCTGACCATGGGCTGAATCCACCCTGTCCTCCTTTACACTGCCGGCAAAGTACAGATATTGTGTGTCAGCCACATGCAAGCTGAATAATACATCTCTGAAGCGTCTGTGACATCCCATTAGAGGTGGTCACTTTACGTCCTGGTGAATGCTGTTATAAACTTCAATCTAAAAATGTCACCTGCTTTACCAACAGAGTCCTTCCTTTGATCTTGTCAGCGGCTGCATGCCCTTGAACCTGCCCCCGCTGACCAGTTTTGTGTGTACATTGTTTTTTTCCCTTGGTTTCCTCTTCAGTTGTGGCCGTTTACCTAAAGAAGTCCTGGTGGTCTACGGAAGATGTACTAAGGACTGCTGACCCCACGAGAGAAGGCCTGATGAAGGTGAGAGAACACAGTTTGAAAGGAGCACTCACAAGGCAGGCTTTTCCCAAGTCACCATCCTTACTATCCTGTTAATAACGCCTGACGGTCTGCTGCATCACTGGGTATTGATTTCCCCCCTGTTGCCATCAGCCTGGGTGGTCCCACAGCAGACCCGTCTCAGGGGTCTGCAGTCTGGAGTCCAAAATCAAGGAGTCCGTCATTGCTTTTTTTGGAGGATTGGGAGGGGGAATGTGTTCCAGGCTGTGTCTCAGCTACGGGTTGCCCTCGGTATCACTTTTGGTGGCCATCGTTGGCGTCCTTTGTGTGTTTTCCCAGGGTATTTTCCCTGTAGGCACGTCTGGAACTATAATTTTCCCTTTTTATAAGAATACCAGACATACTGTCTTAGGGAGCACCCTACTGCTCAAAGCTGGACTTGATTACCCACAGAATTCCGTTTCCAGATAGGTTCCCATTCAGAGGTACTGGGCTCTGGGACGTCAGCATCTTTGGTGGAGACACATTTAATCCATAATAATCATGCTGGGAAGGACAATAGTAGCACCTGCCCGAGTAGCCTGGTGTTGTTAATCTGTGCCATCTCTCTATTGTGTGGGAAAATTACACCTGGTGCTCCCGGGCAGTGTTTATTGGTATGAGATTCTATCCTGTACATTACCTCAGACTCTTTACAGGGTTGGTCTAATTTCAGAATCTTCAAGGTGTTTGTTTTGCACGTGAAGAAACTGAGGCTGAGTCATACAGCTGGCAAGTGGTTTAGGTGGGTACAAACATCTCTGAGCTCAAGCCTGGCATCTTTGAAGCACCGGCATTTTGTAGAGCAGTTGAAAAACAGAGATCTGGGATGGTGAAGGTGAGGGCAGGTGCACCAGTAGCTCCTTAGGTGTGGGAAGCATCCTGATGACCGAAACACTGGTTGGGCAGAGGCTAAGGAGCAATGCAGGTACCAGTCAAGATGCGGACTCTGTCTCACATCTGATTGCTGGATTTCTATCAGTTCCCTAGCTGAGAACAATGATGGGGCATCTCTGCAGTCAGAAAATGGTTTTCTATAATGCTGCTTGGCCCATTTCACAGAATCCAGTAAATATGAGTGGAAAATCAGCATTTGTTCAGGTTCACTTTGAAGAAGTTCATGATGTAGTTTCTTCTGTTGGCTGAACAACTTTTAGTTCAATTTCATCCCCACCCCAACTTGGGGGTCTTGAACATGCTAGATAAGCCCACAGCCACCAAGCTAGATCTCCAATCCTTTTTATGCATTTTATTTGTTTATTTATTTACTTGTGGTGCTAGAGACTGAACCCAGGGGCTTTGCACTGAGATACAACGCCAACCCTTTTTAAATTTTGAGACGCAAGTTTTTCTTAGTCACTAAGTTGCCCAGACTGGACTAGTACTGAAGTCCTCTACCAGTCTAATCTTTACAAAGTCTAAATTTTATTTTCGAGACAGTGTTTTGCCACGTTGCCCAGGTTCACCTCAAGCTTGTGATCCTCCTGCCTCAGCCTTCCAAACAGCTGGGATTATAGGTATATGCCACCACACCCAGCCAGTTCTGTTTTTAAAGCAACAATGTCATCAAAATGTAATTCACATACCATCTCTTTCATTCTTTGAAAGGGTACAATTCAGTGACTTTTACTATATTCGGAAAGTTGAGTATCCATCACCACCACTTCTAGAACATTTTTATCATTCCAAAAGGAGCCCCATACCTATTTGAAGATACCTCGCATTCTTCTCTTTCCCCAGGCCTGGCAAGCACTAATGGGCTTTCTCTTGTATGGAGTTGTCTGTTCTAGACATTTCATTTGGTCATCCATGCTGTGACACATATCAACATTTCATTACTTTTCTGGCCAAGTCATAGTCATGGAGTGTGATGGACGTTTGAGTTGTTTCCACTGTTAAGCTTTTATGAATAATAGTTCGATGAGCATTTACATACAGTTTTTGAGGACGTGTATTTCCAGTGTTCCTAGCTGCATACCGGAAATGGAATCACGAGCTCTGTGACAACCCCGTGTTTCACATTTTAGGAACCCGCCCAAGTGTCTTGCACAGCAGTTACCCCATTTTACGTTCTCCCAGCATTTACTGTTGTCTCCTTTCACATTCTCCATCCTCATAGTGTGAAGAGGCAGCTTACTGACATTTTGATTTGTGTTTCCCTGGTAACCAAGGATGCAGAGCATCTTTTCATGTGCTCATTGGCCATTTAGATAGCCTCTTTGGGAAAATGTTTACTGTGAACTTTGCCCCATTTTTAAGTTGGATTATTTGATTTTTTTTACTATTGAATTGTAAGAATTTTTCATATATTCTAGATACAAGTCCTTTATGTGATTTGCAAATAGCTTGCCCCATTCTTTGGGTTGTGTTTTGTAGGTCTTAACTGACTCTGTAGGTGTTATTTTGTAGATTTTTCCCCCATGCAAATAAAGAGTGACTTGGGATTCACAAAGGAGCATGATCCACCCAGCAGTACAGAGCACGCGTGGATGTGTTTCCGTCCCAGCACCCTTGTCACAGGTGGACCCTGTGACTGCTTAATGACTGATCGTTCTGAATGCTAGGAAGAATCTGATTTGTTTTTTACATCAGAATAAGAAAGTTCAGTTATTTCATTTGTCAATTTTTCTAAGTTTGAGTGAGAAACACCTCTCCCCCAGATTCTGTGAATGTGGCTTAAAATGTGAGGGAAAAGAAACTTGAACATTATTTTCACCAAATGAACCATGTTGTAAAACTCTATCCTGCCTTTACTGTACCTGGGAATGTCTCCTTTCTTCATTCGTGGAACTTTGTCTTTACTTTTTTCTTTTAATTACATTTTGTTTCTTAGCCAGATATTCTTCACAAATTACCAGAAAAACCTATCTTAATGTTCTTTCTGTTAGCATAATTAGTGATCCTAATGAGGGATTAGAACTGGATCTAAGTTTTATGTTTTTAGAAACGTTTCTAAGTCAAAATCACACGTCACACATTTTCCTCCCTGTAATGAAATGGGACAAATTAAGTGAATTTTCTTTTTCTCCTTTTTCTCCTGCCAGTTTTTGATTGGATATTTCCTTTCTGCCAGATGCAATCTGCTTTTCTCTCCTGGCTTCCCTGTGAACCTTTTGGTTTTATAAGTTGAAAAATAGAACCTCCCACATTACACGGATCAGGTCCTGAGATTTGCTAGTTATTCTTAAAGTCTGAGCTGGCTTTGGCTGCCACTGTCTGAGACACAAAATGTGGCAGCTCCTCAGGCTGAGCTGGTTCGACTTTTACAAATCTTTCCATCATCTAAAATTTGGCTCCAGATGAAGGTGAAGTATTTTATGTTCTAAGCCAGTTAATAAGTTTATTGGCACTGAACACTTTGTATCATTTGCTAGGGTGCTATGAACTGCCTTATTTTTATAATCAGTGTTTTGCAATATAGACAAGAGTCTTAGAGGTCACACGGTGAGATCCTTTAACCCTCACCCAGTGAAAAGGAGGTTCTAAAAGTGTGGGCGGCTGTCTCCCAACAAATCCTGGCTAAGATCTCACTACTATACAATGATAGTGATGCAGGTTATGAAGATGATGGTGATGATGATAGTTTAAGGCTCAAGTATTAAATATGCAATTAAGCATTACTATTTGCATTAAAGTAAGTTCCAGTTCTAATAGAAAAGGGAACACAAGAGAACCAACTGCTGGTGGCTCTTGAGTTCTCTGGAGCGGGCCTCAGAAGACCTGCCTGTTGTTTCCTGCCTGCTCCTGACAGAGCTCTTGCCCAGCTGTATCCAGTTCTCCTTGGAATGAGGCAGGAAAATCAATAAATCAATCACTTACCCCTTTGAGCATCAATTTCTTTATCTGTAAACCAAGAAGTTCCCAGTGGGTGTTGAGAATCAAATAGTCCTGTGTGGGTGGGAGCCATCGCCTAGTTAGTGGTGTGACTGATGTGCACACATGCATACACACACTCACACATGCGTGTGCACACACATGCTCACATCATGCAGGCTGTCTGTTGTAATGCAGTGTTGCAGGAATAAAATTCACTATCACAATACTACCACTGCATGAATAGATGATTGGTTGTGTCTAGTGTGTCACATCTTAGCAGCTATTTGGAGGGTTGCATTTTGGAGGACTATGGGACCACATTGTTCTAGTTTGGACCTGAAACGTCTTGTGAAGGCCCTGTGTGTTAAAGGCTTGGTCACCAGCCTCTGGTTCTGTTGGGAAGTGGTAGAACCTTCATGGGATTCAGCGGAAATCTCGCTACCAACATCTCAGGATAGCCGTGTAGTGAGCGGAGGCTTGGGAGGCCCTGATTCTGGCCATATATTTGGCATCTGTGGGCTATAAAAAATGAAAAGAATTTTAACAGGCACAAGCATGAAGTTAGTTTGACTTGTGGAGGAGAAATCTTCCAAAACTGTGGTGCTGGCTTTGAGCACAATTCACTTTCTTTATTTATGATGACTTTGCTTGGGCATGACAGTCCTGTTTTCTAGCCTAGAAGGGAGTGGTCCTGGAGTCTCAGTAATTCTCTGGGGTTGGGACTCCAATTTATGTTTGTAATTTGTCACAAGCTATCAAAAATAAGTTGCTTTTGATATAGCAACTGATCCTCCCAATTATTTTTCCTCTGCTGAGGATCATAATTCTAGGGCTAAGTCCATGCTGTTGTTAAAAATGGTAGATCGGGTTTATTTTGGGACAAGTTTGGCAGATCTACTGCAGTGGCTCACCCCAGCTCCCCTCGAGATAACTTCCTGTTTCATTAGCTTGTGATTAACTGTACTTTGACAACTTAATTCTATGTGTCTATGTCCACGGGGACTCAGGAACTCCCCAGGCATTGTCACTAGCACTGTTGTGATAAATCAGTAGTGTGAAAATGTTTGTGAATAGAGTGATTTATATTCTGGTTCTCAAGCACAAAAACAATCCTCTGACAGTGGACTATACACTTAGACCCAATTTGTGGGTCACTTCCAAGTGCAGAATTTATCATGTCTGATTTTCCTCTCTGCTCTCACTTGACTATTGTTCTTTCTTTGCTTTTCTTCAAAGGTTCAGTCCTTTGGGGAAAGGATTGTACTTTTCATTCTGAATGTCATTATTTTTGGAAGATTGGAGAGAAACTTGGACGATGATGACATGTTTTTCTTACCTCACTCTGTGAAGGAGCAAGCTAAAATTCTGTGGAAAAATGGAGCAGCTGTCGGATTTTACACAACCAAATTGAAAGGTGAGGGATGTATCACAGCCCAGGACACCACTATTTCGGCATCTTGGTGGGAGAAGAGAACTCTTAGTGTCTGCCTGTCTCAGAGAATCCCCGACTGTTGGACTCTCAGGCAATGCTGTGTCTCCTCTAAAATACTTGTGATAGTGAATGGCATACAATGACTTTCCATTTCTTTTCTTTAATGTTACCAATTAGCTTTCAGGAAAAATACCATTGCTAATAGGTGACATGTGGAGCAAAACCCACACTGAATGCCAAGAGTTACAGACATTAGCTCAGAAGGAGGGAAGTCCAGCCATGATAACAAACTTAGGGGAAGCAACTGTGGCTTATTGTGAGGTGCAGTGATTGCTGCACATGTGGGACAAGGACCTTGTTGGTGGAGGATGTGTTTCTCCTTTTAACATGTTTTCTTTAACACTTTCTCTGACTTTTAAAGGCTGTCAACATCACGGGACCAGCTGTTCCAGTACCGCAGTTTGATTCTTACAAAGTTCTTGAATTTAGTAAAGATTAACTTTCTTGGAAACTCATCATAAATGTGCTATTATTGGAGTGGAATGTTTTTTGGGGAAATAGAAAGACCCATTTTGATTTAGAGTCCTGTTCACGTTGTGGTGATGGTCTGCTTCTCCAGGACGGAATGCCTGCTTCTATTTCTCTGATATCTGGGGGATCTGGCCACTTTTCCATCTACATAGCTCTTTTGTTTGTTAGTGAAATGTTTGTCAAGGCAAATAAGAGGGGCTTCAGCATGTGGGACTTTCCACAGCCTTTCTCACCTATTTCCTTCACTGGCTCATGGATTCTGACGTATCGCTTCCTGTTATAGGTAGTCATGGTTTTAGTTGTCTTACATTTTTGTTTTATTTTTTATTATTTTGGGTTGCTGGGGAGTGAAGTCAAGGCCTCACGTAGTCTAAGCAAGTGCCGTGCCACCGAGCTGCACCACAGCACCAGTGTCAATTTTAGATGGAGATATGTGGACCTAGAGAACAGTTAAAGTGCAAGAGAATACTATTGTACTTCCTCCTTCCTGGGAGACTCATTAATGATCATTTGTCTACCATTTTCAATCTGTGAGAAAATCATTTGCAGACAGACATCCTGCTAGTAGAACCAAAACCTGTTCACACGTTCCAGCTTGCTGTGTGAGAACAGCAGGTGCAGGCAGGAGGAGCTCGGGTCTCGCCTTGCCTGGTCTTGTTCTCCCGGACACGCTGATCCCACGTGCTGCCAGTGCTGCGGAGATGAAGTAGAGATTGTGACTGCCTGTGTTTTTCTTTTAGGTCTTCATTTTGTTTCAGTTTAATATCTGAAAGGTAGTTTATCTGAATAAAAATGATTAGAAGCAGTTTCTTCGTCTTCAACATTTTGAATATGTCGCTCCAACTTTTGGCTTTCACAATTTTGGTGAGAATTCAGCTGATATTCTTATTTTTGTTGCTTCATACACAATGGGACATGGCATTCTCCTCCGAGTGCTTTCAAAATTTCCCCTTTAATTTTGGCTTATTATTATTTTTTGCAGTTGATGGGGCTGTGTGCATACCTTAGTGCATTTGTAGTACTATGACCAAGACTTGAGATGAAGTGATTTATAAACAACAGAAATTTATTTCTTAGTGTTCTAGAGGTTTAAAAGCCAAGATCAAGGTGCCTACACTGATCTACTAATGAATTTAGAGTCGCATGACTTAACAGCTTCTGTGCAAGCACCATGGCTTAGTAACATGGCGGTGAGGAGTAAGTTTCAATGGGAACCCACATTTAAACCATGGTAGGAATGATTTTTCTTTTTGGGGATTTGTTGAATGTCTTCAATATATAAATTAATGTTTTCTACCAAATTTGAAGAGTTTGGGCTACTGTTTCATGAAATACTTTTCATAGGGGCTGGGGATTTAGCTCAGCGGCATAAGGGCCTGTCTTGCAAGCAGGCAGTCGTGAGTTCGATCCCTGGTACCGATAAAAAAGAAAAAGACAAAAAAAAAGTTAAAAAAAAAAAAAGAAATACTTTTCATGCTATTTACCCTTTCCTTTCCCTGGGAGTCTAGTCATATGTATATTGAGGTACTTTATTTTTTAGTTCTCTGATTTTATTATTTAAATTTTTACCTGTACTAAGATTAGTTAATTTAAATAGACCTATATCAGTGTCATCTGCCACCTGTAATCTGTGGCAGTGCTCTTTTCAACAGCACATTTACTGAAACATTATCTGTTACCTGGGCCACCCAGAAATTTGGTTATTTTACATATCAGTTCTAGAATTCCAATTATTGTTTATAGTTTTCAGGGTTTTTTAAAAAAAGATTTCATATCCATTTATTGCTTAGTCACATATTCTTAAAATAATTTTATTAATTAAAATTAATAATTTGACTTCTTTGCATGTATTTTTAAGTCTATTTGAAGCCATTGTCTATTAATGTCTATTCTAAGTCAGTTACATTGAATGATTTTTTTCAGAGTATGGATTATGTTTTCCAGTTTTTGCATGCTTAGTAGTTTTGACAATTAATCATTGCAAATATAATGCAGGAACAAAATTGCTGTGTGTTTTCTGAGAAGTTTTGGATTTGTTCTAGTGAGCATTTAACTTGCTTAGCTCAGACTGCGAATTTTGTCTCCTCTGAGACTTGTGCATGCTGATCTCTATTTGTATGGCTTTCTGTGATTGCTTCTTTTACTTGGCTCTGCAGAAGTCCGAAAAAGTGGCAGCCAAACAAAACTTTAGACACTGATGAGACTTATTTTCTCCTTGGGTTTTTACTTCTGCTAGTTTTGGGCTCTGTATTCCTATGGTTCAAATGCTTGTACTTTGGCTTTTTGTTACTTGAGCTCCCCAAACTGAGCAATAGCTCTCGCTATGGCAGGTGCCAAACCCACGGGTTGATTCTGTATAGCTCCATCTTTGAGGAGTGGATATCTCCCTGGTCTCTGGCTTCTTTTTATGCTGGGTCTTTTGAGGTCTCCTTTATTCATGGGTAGTAGATTAGCTATAAACCAGGGATTTGGGGATTTTATGCTCTGAATTTGTGTTTCATTTATTCTGTGGTTTTCATGTGGCTCCTCACTAAATTTGTTACTTTTAAAATCCTGATTTCTAATATTTGACATATTTAGCTGGTCAGGCTACAGTTTTTCCAACTAATATTTTCTGTAATCATGGGATTAGAATTAAATTCTATGGATAGTAAGCCAGAAACCCTGAGCTTTTACCTATTCCTGTTACAGTTTTCTGAAATTAAAATTTCTTCTGACTTTTATGCACTTTTGCATGTCTTGTGGTGCCTTTGAATATTCTTAAAATTTTAGTTTTAAATAATTTTCATATCTGAAGTTTTGTATGATCATTTCATCCTGCCACCAGATTCTGAGATGGATTCAGTCCAGGTTTAGATAATAACATTTTATCTATTCTTCACTTCCCCACATCTTTTAGTTGAGAGAAGAGTGTTTACATGAATTTAAAAATGATTGTTATTAGCAGCATGTAGTAAGTTAGTAAAAGAGTAATGTAGGTGATAGCCAGATATCTTTTATAGCATTTTAATATTTTATCTATAGGATTTATTAAAACTCACTTGCATAGCCTTTCATCACTGTATTGAAATAACTGACACAGAGTAACTTTGTGAAGTGGAGAGATTTACTTAATCAGTTGGAGGCTGGAAATCCAATCAACATAGTGTAGGCTTTAGTGAGGGCCTCATGGCGATGGCGGAGGACAGAGAGGAGGGAGGATCACACATGGGATAGGGAGCCAGGGGTGGTAAGGGAGGGGTTGGGCTTGCTCTTTTTATGATAATCTTTTTTTTTTTTTTTTTTTTTTTGAGAATTACCAAGTAGTCTCACAAGAGCCATCTTATGCTTTCCAAGGCCAGTGCCCCCAGCAAGACCTGAGGACCTCCCATTGGGCCCTATCTTTTAAAGGTCCCATTGCCTCCCATTAGAACTACCTTGAGGACCAAGCTTCCGATGCATGGGCGCTTGAGTCTCCATCCAGTCCACAGCGTGCATGTGAAGGCGTGTGGGGTGATTGGCAGTGGGAGGGCATCTTAGCTCCACAGTTGTGAACTATTAGTGATGTGTCTTCAACCTTGGCTCTGTCTTTGGAGCTAGTCAGTGGTGTGTTGATGGGCACGGTGCTTCTCAGCTTTTTAGCAGTGTGGCTTCTCATCATTTGTTTAGATCCATGTGGTTCAGAATATCTGTAAATTTAGCTTCAATTTTCCTGAAAGTTATAATTCTATTTTGTAAGGAAAAAAATGTACAAATTCAAGGCATAAATAGGATCACAGGGCCAGGTTCTGCCTACTGAAGGGTGCTTGAATCTCTCCAATTTATGATAATTCAGCTTACCTTTTAAAAAGTCTCATGATGATACGAAAATGATACACATTTAGTAGAAACCATACCTTGAATCTTGGTCTCTTTCTGAGTGGTACAGCACAGTACTCTCCTATAATGCTGGGTAGCAACAGTGAGTCACCTCTCTGACGGTAACAGGTGACTCTGTGTATTGTGCTACATTGCTGTTACGTTGAACACGGTCAGTATATAAAATGCTTTTCTCCTTTATGGTATTTTCAACTTATCATGGGCTTTCTGAGTGTTGCAATGCCATCATTTAAGTTGAGGAGCACCTGTACACTGCTTTTCAGCCTCTTAGCACATGCATTTCTGTGTGCATGAGATTTTAAGCACAAATTTTAAATTTATAATAGACTTTGGGTGGACATAAAGAACTGTAAAAATTTTATAAATTTCAATTCATGTGTCATCTCATGTAACCACAGTGAAAATGAACATAAACGGTAGTTTCATCTCTGGTATCCAATCTTTATGTTATTCCTTTATAGTCATTGCCACCCCCACCTACATCACCCCTGGCAACCAGTGATCATTTTTCCACCACTGTAGCTTTGTTTTTTCCAACTGTCCTATAAATGGAGCTGTAGAGCGTCTTTTGCAACTGGCTTCTTTTGCTCCGC